AACAAGTCGAAACCCAAATGAGAATGAGACCACTCTCCAAACGTCGGTGTCTACTCACAAAATCGACTACATCATAAAATGACTACATATGTATCCTCTTGCCCAAGGAATCAAGCCTTCACGTAGTTCACCCAACGGCCTCCAAAGACCTTCAATAAAATAGAAGAGTTCTCAACTCTTCACCAACAAATTTGCGGCTGATAGAACTCCAAATGGCCCAAAGTGTAACGAACCAAACACCTCCACCTGAGGTGAACCAATGGACATATCCAAACTACGTCTACCAGCTGCACTCGAATCAAACAACTCATCATCTACATCCAAATCTAATTGATCTCCAAACTGTGTCACTTCAGCTGGAATCCCAAACGATGCAGAATGATCCGGAGTATATGGAATAATCTTCACTCAACGTGGAGTAGCATTACTCTCCACCTGCTGTGATATCCTAATGATCTGATCAACACTCTCCACCTGTCGAGAGTCAAATGTGGCGTACCTGCTCAAAACAAAATCAGAAGCTCCTAACTGATAGCCGAACGAGCCTCTGAAACCCAAACATGCAATTAACTCAAATTTCACATCCACGATGTGACCAATTGCTGGGTAGCCAAACATCCGACGCAACCCAAAATCTGAAGCAGCTCTACCAAATCCAAAATCTCCAAACGAAGTAGTCGGCAACCTATGACGAAGATGACCCAAACATGTCGAAGCCCGATCACCATAACCAATGCTCAACATCAAACGCCGATCCTCCTCCAGAAAGGAGCAGCTCACCAAATCTGTCATCTTATCTCATTGCCCCAATGATTCCCCTCCAATGAAGTGTCTCAAATTGCCATGAGCTCGGTACAAACGCAGAAAAGAACAACGGATTACCTTTCTGCCAATACACTTCCTCTAACTGTTGTTGACTACTAGGACTTCAAACCAACGGGACTTGGTTGCAACCCACAAATACCTAGTACAATCCCCAACATAGGAAACCAAAAATCGATTACCTCCTAATGATGCCTCCTTGGAAGGCCCTAAAATGCCTGACTGAACACCATCTAAAAGACCCCTTGATCGATGGATAGAAGTGACAAACTCCACCTTGGTCTTCTTGCTCATCCCAATATACTCAAAGGACTTCAATTTGCAGGTCATAGCACTCCTCAACAATCTATGCACGACATAGCCAATCAAATACTCCAGCCTCAATCAACGCCACAGTCTAGCCTCCAAAGAAGTCGTCAGCTCTCTATCAATCACCATGCTCCCAAGCAAATAATACAAATTGATCTTTCCGCTCTTCATCACAATCATGGACCCCAATGTGACCTTCAAACGTGCATCCACCAAGGTCACTCTGTAGCCTGTTGCCTCCAAAGCTCCAAGTAAAATGATATTCTTCTTCAATTGAGGAACGAACCTCACTTCAACCAACTCCCGAATCACCCCGTCACTCATTCGAATACGAACGGTACCAATACCACCAATAGGGCATTCGTGATCATTACCCATGAGCACGACATCCCCTCTTTTCAACTTCTGAAAGCTGAAGAACCAATCCCTCCTAGGGCAAATGTGGTACGAAACACCCAAATCCAACATTCACTCAGTGGAGTTAGCAACGCAAACTGACGGTAGTGGAGATAACGAGTAGCCTGAAGAATTCGAATCTGAATTGTTGCTACTAGCCTTTGCAACATTCACCTCTGAAGCTTGAAAAGCTTTGCCCTTATTCTTCCCGGCTCGATCATTAAACTTTGGGCATTCGGCTTTCCAATGTCCATCTTATTTACAAAAGGCACACTGGTTCCTACAAACTCCGGAATATGCCCCTCTAGACAACGACCTCCTACCTTGGTTTGGACTCTTTTCTCTTACGACCAACGCCCCCGGTACTAGCTCGACTGAAGCCTCTTTATCCTTCTTTCAAAGTTGATAATTCACAAATAGAGCGGTGATTTCACTATACGAAAGAGATGCCTTCCCATTAATAAGAGTAAGGATGAAGGTCTCATATTCCTCGTCGGGCAAGGAACTCAACAACAACAACGCCTTGTCTTGATCTTCTATCATCACATCTACGTTTGCCAAATCCACAAGAAGCATCGTGTAGTGGTTCATGTGATCAAATGGAGGTCCCCTTCTTCAATTGGAAGCGATAAAGCATCCTCTTCAAATGCAAGCAATTTTCTACACTTTTCGTCAAATACTTGCTCTTTAGGACCTCCCAAATCTTCTTAGCCGAAGTCTCATTCATCACATCATATTTTAGATCTTGAGTGAGACAAGACCTAATCACACCACACGCCATTCTATTCATCTTCTTCCAAGCATTCTCATCAATGTCGTCCGGTTTCACGTCTGACTCCAATGTATCTTCTAAATTTTGCGTGTTGAGCACATCCAAGACTTCGCATCGCCAAAGTCCAAAATTGTTTGTGCCATTAAACTTCTCCACGTCTATCTTCATATATTGGATATTCAAACTTTGGACGATCTTCACACCGGAAGAACCCTCCACAACTCCTTCTTTCCAGGCCATCTTCCTCAAGGCACCAACAGACCAATGCGGAATAAACAAAAAATAGATCCAAACTAATAAAGAGAGATTTTTATCCCCAACTGAAACTCTAACAAGAGCCTCCAAACGATCTCACCCCCACACGATGGAAACGAGATCCACAAATAGGAAAAATCCCACCTTTATCACCAATTTAAGCTCTAGCCGAGCTTCCAAATTGATCTACTCTTCCAAATAGCCCAAGCGTAGCCCGGAGCTCTGATACCACTTGTTGGAATTATCTAATATGTGCCCGAGAGCAAATACAAACGCCGAGATAGAGAAGGACAAATACAATCACAATAACAACACAAACACAAACAACCAATTTTACGTTGTTCGGCAAATTTTCCTATGTCCACGGGAGCGGTACCAATTAATTTCTTATTAATAAAAAGAAATTACAAATAAGAGAGAGGATCTCAAACTTAAGATCTCTCAAACAAATAGCAATTGATTTTAATCTAAAATTAATGCTCAAATACCCTCTCTTAATTTCACAATAACCACTCAAAGAAAACCCCATATTTAATTCCACCAACTCCTCTTCTCCTTATTAATGAGAATAGGAACAACAAATTGGGGCTCACAAATCGGAGGGGGACAAATTTTCAAAACCATCCCATTTTGAAATTTATTTATAAAAAACGACCCATTTTAGCCTTAATTGCAAAAACTGACCCAGTTTGTTGAAACTGGGTTAGTTTTTGAAAAAAAATTCCAAACTTCACGGGAGTTCAACTCCCGTGAAGTTTTTTCTCATAACAAAACTTCACGGGAGTTCAACTCCCGTGAAGTTTGAAAAAAAAATTTTCAAAAAACGACCCAGTTTCAACCAACTGGGTCGGTTTTTGCAATTAAGGCTAAAAGGGGTCGTTTTTTATAAATAAATTTCAAAATGGGATGGTTTTGAAAATTTGTCCAATCGGAGGGAGAACGGACGCCAAAAATCGGAGGGGAAAAACAAATCTCCTCCGCTGCTCGCTCTCTCTATCTTCCTGCTCAAAACGCCGCCTCTCCAAAGGGGGTTTCCGCCGCTCCAATCGGGCACAAGAACGAGGGTTTCCCTTTTATAGGGAAACCCTAGGGCGAGCTCCAGCTGTCTCTAGCTGGCCCCAACTCAAACAGGCGAGATCGACACACGAGCGGGCGAACTTGTGATCACACAGGCGAGCTCCATTCTCGCCTTCAAACCCTCGTAAGCAATCGGGTGAGTTCCCAACAGCTCCGCAGGTGAGCTCCCTCCAGCTGGCGTCCACTTTCCATCAACCCGCCAGCAAGCTAGCTCGAACCAGTGCCCCGACCTCGCCATCAGGCGCACAGGCGACCCGTGACCCAACAGGCAAGTTCCATCCTCGCCTCCATCCCACCAGCAGGCGCACCACGATTTCCCACCCCCGCTGCTCAGGTTCGTTCTTCTTCTTCACCAAATCTACATCCCCCCTAAAAGCAAAAAAATAGTTGAAGTTAATAAACTCATTGCTTTCACACGGTCTGACCGAACTATGCAGAGTCGAAGGTGAGGAGCAGGAAAATTTTAATGAACTGCTCCCTTGCGGATGAAGATGAAGCTTTTTGGATGATGGCTCCTGCCTCATTTTGTGAGGGGCTCTAAGATCCTCCCTAAGAAAAGGAGGGAGGTGAACTATATAGCAAGAGAGACATCTGAGATTAAGGATGAGCAAGCGGAGATTGAGGGTGTTAGTTGATGGATTAATGGAGGAGAGTTAAGCGATTAGTGGAAAATTAGGAAGGAGTGAGATTTGTTTGAATTTGTTGAGATAGAAGAGGGTAGTGGGGGACATGAAGCTCTAGAGAAAGTTGTGGCAGTAGGGAGGTATTGTCATGGTATTGAAATGCAAATTCCATAAAAAAAATTATTGTTAACAGATTATACCAAAATTTCATGCATGCTTTCATTTCATAGTTCATAAATATCCCACGACAAGAAAGTTTCACTTCTAAGATTTTTATAATGAAATTTCTTGAGGGATGTGTGAAAATTGAACCCGTCTATCTTCTTAAAGTTTAATATAAGATCCCGCACAACATAGCTAATGCCAAGCAAACATTTCAAAGGCAAAGTAAAGGCCATGCCAGAACAGTTCAAAAGTAAACACCAGTACCAAATGTGTCGAGAAAATTTAATGAAGAGAAAACTTATGAATGACTGCCTTAGCCAACAATGTGGTACAGTTACATTTTAGTCAAATAAATATAATCACGTTCACAGTTTGAGGGCTAGAAAAGAGGAATGGCCCTCTGTAGTTAACCTCAACTCATTAAGGTTATAAAATTTTTTGCCAATCAACGTTAGGACCTCATTAACTATATACAAAAACTTGGAAATAATTTCTCACGTTACTGATACATACCACAGGTGATTTGAAAGATTGGAAGGTTCCAATATGACTCCCAATCTTGGATTTGACTCTGTGCTGGGTTATCCAAAACAATTAATAGTAATTAAAAAAAGAGGAAAAACAACGCTGAAAGATTGGAAGGTTCCGATATGACTCCCAGTCTTGGATTTGACTCTGTGCGGGTTATCCAAAACAATTAATAGTAATTAAAAAAAGAGGAAAAACAACCCTCTAGCGTCACGTGAACAGAGAAAAAACAATAACAATGACAACTACTTTTCACCTCAAATTGATAAATTCTACAGCATCCTATAACGATTACCTACCTTATTTTTTCCGATAAACAATAGTTGGCTTGAAGGAACAAAAATTCCTCGAACAGTATCACCGGTACATTAAAGAAAGACTAAGCATGACCATTTTTAGGCAACGCTCCCATTCTATGACATAAAACCCTTCATGTCATCTTCTTCGAGTATCCACTAAATTTGAGATGCAAGGCCTCCTTAAGAATCCTATGACGTTCTCTCAATCATCTTGATATTTTCCTGCGCTGGAGGAGCTGCAACATGATCAAAGCACAAAAAATATAAATTGATGAACTCAAATTCTGATTGAAATCAATTATCATTAGATATTTGTATATTAAAATTTTATTAGCATTAAAGCAACAAAGTATGTATAGAAACTGAATGAGATGTAGAACTATCTCATTAACAAGCCACAAGTACATTATGGTGGTATTTGGTAGACTATAACTAAGGTGGTTGCAACTCTAGTTGCATGCAACTGGGTATTTTTTTTACTTAGTTGTAGCTGTTTGTTTTGCTACAACTGTGTAGTTGTAATTATAGACATAATTGTAAAATCCATGGTTTTAAATGTCGGCCGACATGTCGGATAAGAGGCTAGAGCGACATGGATATGGCTATTTCAAGTCGGATATCATTTTCGAGATCCATGTCGGACATGTCCCGGGATACTGCAGAAATAGCGGCCAATTTTTAGCCTTGAAAAATCGGAAATCGGGTGATTTTTTTATTTCTTAAATTTTTAGTTGATAACTATTAGAGTTTGGGTTTAGTACTAAAAAGCCAAAGCTGATTAATTCTTTTTTTTGGCTTTTTATTCCCATAGTAACCCAATAGCATATAATACAGATTAGGGTAAAGAAAAAAATATTGCACTCTTTTCGACCGCGATCTCTCTTCATTCGACTTCATCTCTATAAATTGAAATTGAGAATACGTAAAAGTGTGATGTAAACAATAAGTTTGAACTGCAGCTTGAAATCAATTCAATGTCTAATACTTTATGTCAGTTATATGCAAAGCATTGTACTTTATTTTAATTTTATGCAAGGAACTTCAAAAGTTCTAGTTTGACAATGCATTTTATTTATTTGTTAGCATAATATTCTAATGATTCCTTCAAGAAAGGGAAAAACGACTCATGTTTTGATGATGAATACTCTGTTGGCCTTCTTGTTTTGATGATGATTTAACAAACAATTTACAACTAATATTGGTTTTAAGTATTTTGTTTTGTGTTGTTTAGTATACACAGGAAAATGAGCTACATTGATATTGAAGCCTATGCAAAATCAAGTCAACCAATCAAGTTCAAGCTTCATTAGATGACTCTTGGTGTACTTAGTATAGGTTTATATAAAATGTGTGCAAATTCTACAAGCTCAAATTTACACACACTCATTTGTGAAATTTCTCAAATAATAGGTGTTTTTATGCAAAATTTATTTTAATATAACCTGGACTATATAAACATTGTAAACATCTTTTATTAAGTCCATAAAAACATTACACAAGTTTTCAAAACTTGATTTCAGCTAAATGTCAAAATTAACATGCTTAAGAACACATGTATTTTAGTATTTTTGAATATTCCTGAGATTTCACGAATGGTAAGAGAAAATTGAAAAATTCCTTTTCCAACATGTTCATATCCATGTTTATAAACTTTTTCCAAAGTTTTACATTTTTTGGAATTTACTTGCTATTTTAAAAAGTGGTTTGAAATTCATTTTCAAAATTCAATTTAGGCTAAAAACATGTTATCAGTCGACTGATGATATATATCAGTCGACTGATAAAACTGCCTGCAATCTTCATTTCTTTTCTGTTTCTTATTCAGTCGACTGATCAGTTGACTGATGAGTTCATCAGTCGACCAATAATATTATTAGTCGGTTGATAAGTTATTTGGCTGCCTGTAACGGTCAGCTCATCAGTCGACTGATATATATCATCAGTCGACTGATGACAATAACAGTTAGTCTTTCTAGCCTTTTGTATTTTTATCTTTTAGCTGGATTTTTTGGTTTTGGGATTTGGTTTTTCATCCTATATATACCCCTTACTGTTCTCACTTCAGAATTATCTAAGTGAGTTTTAACAAGAGTTTAAAGGGTTTAAAGTTTGTTTCTTCTCAAGTTTGAGTTTGGTAGTTTGTTTACAAAAGAGGAAGCTTGCATTGTCAAATTGATAAATTCATCCTCAATCTTCTTCATCCTCTTATTGTGTTTATAGAGAAGTTTTTCTAACTCTTTTATCTAGTAATTTATTATTGATTTTTATATTCTTATTATTGGTAGTTCAATATTTGAGTTAGAATTTTATTTGAAATCATTTTATCACACACATCCATATTTGAGCTTTTAGTATTTCATACATCATATATTGGGTCGTGTGATTGTGATATAATGAGAATGAGCCTCATTGTGTTCTCATTAATTATTAGAGAACAAATTATTATATTTGAGATATATTTGTGAGTATCAGTTTGTAATACACATTTACACCGAAAGGAGTATGTGGTGAGGACGTTGTTGATACCAAGAGGAGTAAAAAAAGGAGTAATGATCTATTAAGGGCGATGATTCTAACCGTATGAACTAGTCCTTAAGGATGTATTAGGGTGAAACTATAGCTCGTTCAGTCGTTTAGGGAATGAATACAAACTGAATGGCCTTCCTACTATACTCCACGGCAATATAGCTCGGGTATAATAGACGAAGTTTGACAACGGGAGTATTTGACTGTCCTCTCTCTAGTCAGAAAAAGCGTAAGTTAATCAGGATGGATCGACAGGCTTTCCAAACCTACTGGTCTCTTCCTCGGACCTAGCATTGTTGCCTGGCCCATCACCTTGATATGATGCATCCTCTTCCGAAAGGTCTATGCTATCTTCACCTGGGATTACTGTGTGAGCCTCTTCTGCGTGATCTCAGCTTAGCCTCTCATAGGGCTCGGGCAAGCAAGAATTGACCATCTTCCGAAGTAACTCATCGTCTCCTAGGTACCTCCGCCCTATTATTCATACTCTGTAACAGCTGCCTCGCTAGCGAGGGGTCTTCCTGGGTGGGGAGACCGATCGTAGGGCGCCTTCACCTCTCCTTTAAAACCGAAATCTACCGCAGAAGCGAACAAAAAATGAGAAAAAGGTAAACAATGCCATCTGATCGACACATATTCTATCTCAAACTAAAAGCCCTTCCGTGGTGAAAGACTCTCCCAGCGCTACGGTCAAAGCCCGAACACGGGTTACCGCGTCTATAGCTGCTCCACCAACTACGTTGGTAGAACAAGAATTGCAGATTTGGGGAGAAAATGTTTCAAAATTCATTTTGGAACTACTCCTCCGCAATTCAAAACTAAGGATATCTCAATCTATACGAAACCATCCTTTCCCTGAAAGGTCAAATTCTCACTGGCTGACTTACAGCCGGGAGGCCAAGGGAGGCGTTTGGTCTGCTCGTCGCACACTACTAGCCGCAAGTCAATCAATCCATCTATATATGATTGATGATACGAAGCCTTTTTTTCAAAGCCCGACGGCGGATAAAGAGAGGTCTCCATCCGCTTCAAGCGAATATTACCCTATCACTCCTAGTGAGAGGTGTGAATCTGAGCACTTAAGGGAGGTGATACGTGAGGACCAACACATAAGGTTGTAGGTTGTGTGATTATATTATGAGTTATCTTGTAGAGTTTTTGGTGAACTAGAAAATCGATATTGTGTTGTGTAAACATTATTCGGGTGAGTGTAGAAAACTCGGTTGTGTTAGTAGAGTTCTCCCCGAGAGTGGGGAGCAGAGACGTAGGTGAAGAGGATCGAACTCCGTAATCATCTCTTTGTGTTTGAGTTTGCTTTGTGTATATTTATTCTTGTGCTTGTAATTTACATTCTTGCTAATAACTCACTCATATATCTCTTGCAAGAATTAATTAATCAAGAAAGTTTTAATTTGGCATAAAATTGGATTAGAATAGCATAAGATCCTAATCACCCCTTTCTAGAAACTAACATTGGTATCAGAGCTTGGTGCTATTTGATTTAAGCTCTAATCACCTTGAGTTAAAGATTCAAGTTTCTATATTATTGCTAATCTAGTTTTGATAATTTTATTTATAGCTTGCTTGCATATATATCATAAACATGCACGGATCACCTAGTCTTGGTTGTGCAACAAATGTTGCTCCTAGAATAAGTAATTTCCCCTATGCACAATGGCGTATTAGATTTAAGCTATTTGCTAGATCTACTAATATTGATATTTAGAAAATTATAGATTGTGCCTATATTGTACCCACTACGGAGAAATCCAAGTGGAGTAATAATGACAACAGATTGTTTGCTATGAACAAGTCATTGTTAGAATTCCTAATTAATGCCTTCGGCTTATCTTTTCTAACAAACTTGATTCTTTTGATAGTGCTTACACTTTGTGAAAATTAATAGAAGCACATCAAGGAGACATGGAGGCAGTCCGACATGCTTTGAAGGATTCCGCTTCGAGTTCTAAGGGAGCCTCATCATCACACATATGACCACTAGGCATTAGCCCGAGTGAGGTATGTGAATCAAATAACGATGATGATTTAACTTTTGATGAGCTTGCATATGAATATGAAAAATTGTTGCATGAGCATAAAAAGCTACAACAAAATTTTAAAAGTTTAAAAAGAAAGCATGTTGATTTGAAATCCAATCATGAATGTTTAGCTACTAAGTTTGATTCCATTGCAAATAAAAATATTATTCTTAAAGAAAGCATTGGAAAACTAAAATTAAAAAATGCTAGCTTGTTTCATGAAAAATGTGATGCTATATTAGAAGTTAAAAACATAAGAAATAAGCTTAATTCTTTTAAAAATGATCATGAATGATCTACTTCTAATGACAATGCATACATAAAAATTGATGAATTAAATTATGTCAAAAATAGAATATCTACTTTAGATTCAACCTTAAAAACTTGCATTGATAATAACAAAAAGCTTATGGACTTATGTGCAAAGTCCCGTGAAAATTCTTTCAAAAAGCCTACTCACTATGCACATATGTATAACAAAATTTACAAGTATTCTATTTACGACCGTAAATGTCATATTGCTAAATTTTGTTATAATGCACAAAAATCTAAGAATGCTAATATTAATACTCCTTGTGCATTCCATCAAGCTTCATCATCATATACACATACACATGCACGTGCACACAATGATTATCATAAGCATGTGTATAAATATGATTTCTGTGATA